AAGCAGTGATGTCAGCACCTGGGCTGCATCACCGCAAGCCTCACCTGGTCAGCGCTCTGAGCTGCCCGGGAAGGCCCTCACGAACAGTCGCCGGTCCGCATGCGTTGTCCTTTGTTGGCCAGATGGCCATTGGAATCCCCGAAGTCCAAATTCATCGAGTCATGTCACAACCACTGCCCCTGCAGCACCCCAGCCCACCACGACCGTGCATAGTACTTGCATTCCCTACCTTCAGCTTCCTGAGGATAGAACGCCCATCTTCCGCCCACCGACGGGCATTAGCCCCACATCGTACCCCTCCCTGTTCTACTCCTCACCCCCGTCCACGCCCATGTTCCGTCTCATCTCTTCCGTCCACAGACAGACGTTAGCTTTTCATCGATCGTCCGCGGTGGACTTGAGGGATTCTAACTGCCACCGTGCCAACACCGAACCACGCCCACAGACCAGCGACCGTTCGTGAGAAGGAGTGATGTCAGCACCTGGGCTGCATCACCGCAAGCCTCACCTGGTCAGCTCTGAGCTGCCCGGCAAGGCCTTCACAAACAGTCGCCGGTCCGCGTGCGTTGTCCTTTGTTGGCCAGATGGCCATTGGAATCCCCGAAGTCCAAATTCATCATGTCAAAACCACTGCCCCTGCAGCACCCCAGCCCACCACGACCGTGCATGGTACTTGCATTCCCTACCTTCAGCTTCCCCATCTTCCGTCCACCGACAAGCATTAGCCCCACATCGTACCCCTCCCTGTTCTACTCCTCACCGCCGTCCACGCCCATCTTCCGTCTCATCTCTTCCGTCCACGGACCGACGTTAGCTTTTCATCGATCGTCCGCGGTGGACTTGAGGGATTCTACCTGCCACCGTGCCTACCTCGGACCACGCCCACACACAAGCGACCGTGCGTAAGAAGCAGTGATGTCAGCACCTGGGCTGATCACCGCAAGCCTCACCTGGTCAGCTCTGAGCTGCCAGGCAAGGCCCTCACACACGGTCGCCGATCCGCGTGCGTTGTCCTTTGTTGGCCAGATGGCGATTGGAATCCCCCAAGTCCAAATTCATCATATCATGTCACAACCATTGCCCCTGCAGCACCCCCGCCCACCACGACCGTGGCTACAGCGCCCAGCTTCTCTCTACAGTCGGGCCGCCACCGGCACTACACAAACGCCTTTAGTTACACGTGCGACACTCCTGAAAGGGGGTCGGCGGCACCCGGGCGAAGCCCTTACAAATATATTTTTATAACGTATACTATATATATACACACCCTAAGTCCAAAGGCTATTTTTGGTGCCACTGTAAAGGAAACTCCTTTTCGGGTCATTCAAAGACCTTGAAATAGTCGCTTAGTCGTTGACGTTGACTTCCCAGGTTAATAGTCACTAAACCCGATCCACAACACCAAGAATGTGAGGCTTGAGCCCCCAAAACAGGAACCAAACACATCGGAAAAACTGGCTGTCTTTGCAAATGCGATGCATGTCTAGATCGAAGTTGGACCGGCTGGGGCCCGATGTAGCGCCCCATCCAGGTAGTCCAAAGAAATGCGGTAGTAAACTATCTCTTCCTCAAGACCACTCTGACCCTATGGATTCACAACCCTTCGTTTCGTTTCGGTGATTGGACATAGCACAATTCTGGACAGCACTCAGGTGCGGTCCGTGCGCTCGTACCGGGACGGATCCCTTCGGGGTGACCACCACAACATATCTGCGGACTCGTCCTTTTCCGTAGAGGCACCCGACCAGTCCGACAGCCGCTTGACCAGTTGTGGGTTTCGGATGGCTTTTTTCGTTGGCTGCGAGGGCTTTTTTCGTTGCACGCCCGGCCTGTGAGCCTATCGGTGAAAGATTGAACTGATTGAACACTGAAAGGCTGAGTGAAATGCCATACCCAGTGCATTCCAGTTACCACTATATAAGGAACCAGGGGTTCTAGGTCTGTGGTTTTAGTCTTTGGAACCACTGGTTACCAGCTATAGTGGTAACTGGATGCCCTGGGATAGTCTTGAGGCACCTGATGCCCGCTTGGCCGTTGACCTCTCTCTCTACTAACTATTATGTCATGGCCGGAGCATTTCAGCCGATCATTTCGCTTGGTCTTCTTCAACCCGGCACCAAAACACGCCATATTTGTCGCTTGTCCCGCGATGGCCCAAGCGTTCCAAAACATTTACCTGCCAAGCATCATATCCTTCCAGGGCACGACCTGCCTCTGCTTCTGCAACAAGGCTCCCACAGTGGTCACCTTCCTGGAAGTGCTGAAGTGCAGGTGCCCATCGTAATTGATCACTGAGGTCTCCCAGTCACAGCTTTGAAGGTTGGTGACCGAAGCTGGGATCACTTCGCAACCAAAAAGTGGAGAGCTTATCAAACCACGCAAGGGTCAGTTGGGCTTCTAGGGTTTGTAGCGGCCTCACTGTTTTGCCTGGGGATTGTATGCAACGTCACCCCAAACTGGGCTTGACCAAAACTGAGCTGTACGGCTTCAAACGGCTTCAAACATCGGGTCAGGCCGATGCAGACCTCACATTCTGAAATCCGAGGGGCGAATACTTGGAGTTCCGGCGGTTCTTCTCCGCCTTGTCAACAATGTCCACAATGTCGCTGGGTGCCTCACTCTGCTCCCCTGGCAGTGAGCACGGCTCGAGGAAAGGAGGATGTTGGCCTTTGGTTTTGTCCTTTTTCTACATCCTTCCCTCCATGTAGGTGAATGATGCTCCGTCAAGCACCGGCCATGGGCCGCGTTTGATCATGTCGGAGCGTGTGGGGGGCATGGCCTCCAGGAGGATCGGTGCTTTTGGGATCTGGTTCAACGCGGTTTGTGCCGACGCTGGAGTCGTGTTTGGGCTTCAGCATAGTCACAAGTGCATCGCTACTAGTAACAATTAAGAGTATCATTTCTACTAGCAACAGGGCTTCATCTTCCGCATTTTCCAGCAGAAGTTTGTGGCTTCCTTATGCTTCCTTTCTGCTCTCAGCGTCGGCCGGTCTGGACGGTCAGAAGTTCCAACGGGATGCTCAACGTCACGTCCCATGCATTCGAACGCAGGAGTGGCAATACACAGCAACTCCAAGCGCGCGAGCCCGGCAAATGCTCATCCCTTCAGTTCGAAGGCCGTGTCACTTCTTTCTACAAGGAAAGCCGTATCACTCTGAAAAAAGTCTCACACCCCCTTGGTTGAAGGAAACAAGCACCAACAAAATCAAGCCTTTCTTTTTTGTCAATGCCAAAGCCCTTGGTTGGCCTCCTGAAGCACCAAAGGACTGCAAAGCGCTACTTGCAAAGCCTGACAGAATTTATCGGGAAAGATCAGGGTTTTGGCCGATGGCCCTCACGGCCGTGTCACGAACACCAAAATACTGGGCCGAATGCCCTCCACCCCTCCGCCACTGAAGCCGGCCTGTTCTTGGGGCCGGCGCATGCGGAACACCTGTGGCCGGGAACACCACGAGGGTCAGACCGGTAGTGGGAGACTGAAGATGATGGTTTTGGCTTATCCCATGCCAGGTATATATGTATATACAGGTCTGTATATATATATATATATACACATAACATGCTTACAGTACATCCACCCCTATTGCCAGTCCCATGGATGGTCTGGGTATGGTTTCTGGTCATCAGTTCGACAGAGCTGCCACCCCAGCCGGTGCCATGTAGGACGCAGGAAGGCAAAAGCAAAACTCATCCATATATGTCCTTAATCCTATAGATGTTCCTAGCCTGAAAGTTGTACTGGTTACGTTAATCATGAGAGAACTCAGGTCGGCCATCCGCAAAAAAGAACTCGTCTCATGCTCGTCTCATGTCGACTCCTAGCCTCTCAATCGATCCTTCATATCACTCGGCTCGCCTGAGTGATCACTTCCCATGGTCTCCATGGTCATGGTGAGGCTCAAGTCTTCTGGTATGTCCTCCCCCAAGGACACCGCCTCACACCACGGACCGGACCGCTTTTTCGGATCGCGTGGTCGAAGTCGACACCGCCAGCGAGTTGGTGAACGAGTTGGTGAACTATAGTTGCATATAGTTTTGTGTGACCATGTACATGGAAGAGCCATGAAGAGCCATCTCTTGTACATCTTCTTGTTGGTTTGTATCTCTTGGTTGGCGCAAATGGTGTCCAGACGTGGTTGCCATGGCTTCTCCCAGTCGTCGGCCGTAACACGGTCGCAGGGGACAGGCACATCGGAGCGAGGCTGAAGGAACGGTCCATTTCCCAGGGCGAAGTACCAACAAAGCTTGGTCAGAACCCTAGTTCGACTGCACCAGTTTACCCCAGGTGACGGGTCCTACATCTACGGTCACATTCCACCTCTCAAGCGCGCCCTCTTCCACTCCAAAAAGGGTTGTTTCGACGCAATAAAGGCCTTCACTCAATAAGTGCAGCTACTCCCCACACAACCACTGGTCGCTCTCACAACTGCTCTCACACTATCTCAACACATATCTCATCTTCTCCGCCAAACAGCTACAATATATGTTTGAGAGACATCACTGGACCTGTGGGACATATTTGGACACCACCCGTACAACTTGACCAACATTTAAAAAAAGTGCAAACAATATATGTGTTATGTATTATATATCTTAAACCCTCCAAGCGATCTGTGCTGGACTTGGCAATCAGAGTTCCTGCCCACGGTCCGACGTCCGCCTTGGGAGCACAGTCCAGCACTTCAACCATGGGCTTGGCCGTGGGTGCCACCTCCATGGAATCGGCATCATCGACATCATCCGGCCCGACGAAGTGGCTCATGGCATTTCATGGTGAACCGAGAAACGCGTTCTGCGCATTGGCATTTGTCATTGCCCTTAGTCGACACGACTATGATTCTAGAATTGCTCACGGGAATTATGCTTTTGTTTCGGGTGAACTTCCCTGCACGCTGAGACACTTCGGGATCTAACTAAACACATTAAATTAAAGAGACCCCAAACAATCCCACACCCATGTGACTTAACTCCTTGCCGGTCCTTGCCTTTTTGTTGAAATACCATGAAATACCCGCTTACAATCCCACCTTCTTGCCAAAAGTCGGTGAACACCCCCCAAAGTTCCAGTCAACGTGGTTCATTCCAATTCGCCGGTGACTGGCGCTCGAAACGAAACGAAAAAAACGAGCGGACCCGCGCACCCGCGGACCCGTGTGCTGCTTCTCCACCCGGCCTGAGCCAGCTCGTCCCCGACCAAGTTCAAGCGCTCGGCCGAGTGCTCAGTGGCACCTGGAGCCGCGCTCGGCGACTAGGCGGGGGGGATGGGATGGGATCGGTGTGGAGGACAGTTCGAGGAGGGCCCTCATTTAGCTTTCAAAGGATTGATTGGCCGGATGACAGTCGATCGAAGTGTTTTGGAGAGGAAATGTTTGAAAGAACTGGTCAACTCAATGGTCAATAGCCGCAATACGACACATAATCACATATATACTTGGCATGTGCGCACTATGATATCTTTTTCCATCCAGGTTTTCCAGTTCTACATCGTTCCCAAAGGCCGTGCCACGCGGAGGATCGTCTCGCAACCTGCGCGTCCCATCACCCGGAGGATCCACAGGTTGCCCGGTGTATCCCGGATTGGGAAAAAGCTGGCTGCGGCTGCGGTTGCACTTTGGTGGACTGGTCGGGTGACACGGATTGACTGACCCACCCCCACATCAAACCCAATCCCGTTCCCAGTCTTTCAGAGCCTCCAGTAAGCAGGGGTGCGGATTCTAGAGCTGAAACCAAGAACATGCCAACCTGAAGTACCAAAACCGGTGCCGGAGATTTGGTTTCACCTCTCACCTGCGGCCCTGAAGGCACACATTCTTGATTGATGGATCATTCTGTCTTGCCCAAATCTCTCATTGAACTTCACTGAACTGTAGCTTCTGTCATATGGCGAAAACGGGGCACCAGCCAAGCACTAGCTTGGCTCTTTCATTTTCGCGCAGGGAAGCTCGCCCTGGCCCTGCGCACGCTCGCACGCTCCTCTTCGTAGAAGCGGAATTACCCCAGGCAGTTCCATGTGGAGGTGCGATCTACGTGGCATGGGCACCTCCATCAGTGGCTGATCTACGCACCCCCAGCAGTTCCCCTTCCGTGATACCGGGTGCCCCATCATCCACTCCACCATCGCCGGCCGCCAGGCGGTGTCGGCGCGGGCACGCCCCCGTGCGTCACGGCCGGCCTAGTCGTTCCAACGTCTCAAACGCGTCGGTCACGGCCTCCTGGGGATCGGTCACCCCAAGATGGTCTGGGAATCCTGGCTCACCTCGGTTTTTATTTGTCCTTTACCCAACCATCGTTTGACTAAGGATTTTGGACTCCAAAAGGTCTTTAAAGGTCTTTGAAGGATGAAGGGGCCGCTATTGGAGACCAGTCTGGGACGGTGAACTGTACAATCCACCAGCTCACTGCACCCATGTGGGGTATGATGACATTCCTGAGTGTCTAAATGAGCAATCCAGTGAACAAGCGGTTTTCTTCGAAGAATCTTATGGAACTGGATGATTAACATAGAATTGAAGGGTCTGGTATAGATGTCACATTCCATGCATCGCTGAACACAAGTGGACCCATCCAAAGAGCAGACAAACTTCTCAAGTCGTGTTAAAATCCTCAAGACCGGTGCAAAGTTCAAGAAAAACATGAAGCAAACCTGTAATTACCTTAGAATCCTTAGAACCTGAATGATGTCTGGAATCACCAGCCGCAACAGGGGTCTTGACTGGCATCTTGGTATACCTATAATCCTATAGGCTATAGCAAGACCCCCGGCCCTGAAAGACGTCCAAAAGCTGTTGGACTTTTCAGGCGAGCTATGACAAAAACCCGGCAGCAATTACCTTCCAGTGGCAAGTAGGATAATTGCTCATATCTCCATAGAAGTGGATGGCATAGCCGCGAAAGGATGACCATGAAATCCGAATACCAAACAGGTGAGCTCCGCTTTCATTATTATTTCAGGGAGTGAGTGCAAATTGGACAGATGCAAAGTTTGACCAACCACTACACGTAGTTTGCCACAAACAAACTGTAGTGTCAAGCCGGCATGTCCGTGTGCCCCATCTCTGGTGAAGCACGTGCCCGCCAAAAGGTGAAGCACGTGGCTGGATAAAAGGACTTTGACTTGGTGATACTTGGTGTAACAATTGCGAAGTTGGCGATGTTGTATGTGTTCAAGGTTCGCATCATGGTCCAGTGTCGAACAACTTGTACTCCATGCTTGGAATGTGGACATGTATGGAAGCTTGGAAGACTTAACAAAAACAAATTGCCGCTCTTTCGTTCATGCAAGTCGGCTTGTAGCCGCTTTCTTCGCATCCGGTCTTAGTCTGGGTGATGAGGTCTTAGTCTGGCCATCCGCGGAGGCATCGTTCAACAAAGCCTCATCAAATACAAGTTCTATTCGGACACAGGTCTGGAATCCAGTTCCCTACTCTTCAGTTTGGACTGAGAGGCTTACAGTTCTTCGTGTCAAGCTTCATTGGAGAAACATCAGCCAATTCAAACACCCAACATTCCGCTGACGAATGGTAGTCGAGAAAGAGCTCTGGAAGGAGGAGATGATGTTTTCCCGTCTGAAACCTTGATTGACCCTCAAAACCACTGGTTTGCAAAGGAGAACAGTCGGAGGGTGCTAGTGCACCACCAGGCTCCATGTGAGCTTTCGGAAGTGTATCCCATCCAAGTGATCCTTCTTCGTTTGGCTCCAATACCAGGAGAGTTCTTCAGACTGACGAGCCATGTCAGATCTGACCTTCTGCGAAATCACAGCTTCAAAACAACCCCAGCTTCCTCAAAGTGCCACAAGGGGAAATGTGACTTTCCAGAACATGGTGGTCCGAGACTTGTCAATGTCCTTCCCGAGATCTGATGAACAAACAAGCTGATGTCGGGGAATCACTGCCCTTGCTATACGGCTGAAGCTTTAAAACTTTACACGAAGTGGCAGTACATGGGATTCACCCCTCAATGCGAAGTACCTACAAGTAGTTGCAAGCAGGTCAAGTGGGAGTGAAAGTACTGCAACTCCAGAAAGGTAATGCAGCTCTTCCTCTCGAAACCTTCTGGGGCACAGAATTTTTAGACACTTAAGGGGCTGTCAGCATTTTTCAGAATGCGCGCCCCCACACATTCCGAGCGCGGCATCGAGTGGATCGACTCTCCTGAAAAGCAAGTTGTTGCTCCTCCGCCAGCTGCAACAACCTCGAGGGGAAAGCCGTCCAACAGGGATCCGACAAAAGAAGGCACAGGTGATCATGTGGTTGTTGAAGTAGTCGTTCATGTTGATTCGTTGGTGGTAGAGGCCCCCCAGTTTACTCGTTGTAGATCATTTCGCTATACCAAACAAACGCCACTACACTCCCTAAAATAACTAATCGGAAGTGGATGGCACGGTTCCTTGGATGACCATGAAATCCTGTAGGAGCTTCACTTCCATGATTGTTTCAGGGACGGCACAGGGTTTCTTTCTGGCAAAACCCGCTGGGCTGTAGGGGACAAGTGCCCTCGACAAACGGCCATAGTTTCCTCCACAGTGGATCGCAATAAAGGACGTGTTAGTTTTGCAATCTCTTTTTGGTCTTCATCTCTTAGGCCACTCAAGCTGGTTTCGTTTCATCCTTGAGGTTTCAAACTCATTGGGACTCTCCTAGGATGATTTTTCCGTCTTTCACCACATCAGGAATAGCAAGGCCCGCTCCACACCAAACAGTCATGGTTTTCAAACAGCAGTCGGCCGATTGTACACTTCTAGCTACTAGTTACTAGTAGTGATGCACCCTGTTACTAGTAGCGATGGCCTCCAACCAAACAGCGATGGACTCCTGCACCCTAGTAGCTTCTTGTATCTTCTTGTTACTAGGTCACATCGATGTGATCCACCGGAGATTGAAATAGATTGCAATCCTCCACCAACATCGGCCAACCTCTGCTTACGCCATGCCCCGGACCGATCTTGCGCCACATCCCCATGCCCGCGCATGCGACCTCTCCCGCTTTCCGGAAGAACCACGGACCGAGCTATCGGAGCCATTCTGCCCAATCCGCGGTGCCGTCCGAGCATCTGCTCCTTCTGCCGAAGGAGGCTCAAGAGGAAGGTCTCCTGTGCGCGCGATGCGCCAGATGCGGGTCACCCCCCGAGGTCGTTTCGGAGAGGAGCAGCGTCTTGCAGCAGGCGCTTGAGGGCTCCGAGACCCACATGGAACCTGAAAAGCTCCTGGGTTGTAGAGGAAAATGGTCTTCCAGTCTGGTCCATGCCATCAGGTTCCATGTTCATCTCCCTGGGTGGATGTTAGCTTCTGGAGGGCCTTCCATAAGGAGATTGTGACTCAAGTGACGGGAATGTGTATGAAACTAGCTGCATGGTGTACACCCTCCGGAGACATGGTAGACACAAGTGGACAAGCTCCCTTGAGTTCTTGGAACATCGTCTTCATCCATGATTCGGACGCAGGGTCACGGTCGGTGGGGCGAAAACAAAAACTCAAAGCCCGTTCTTCACGGGTCGGTCGCTCTTGTGAGATCGCCTGTAAAAATAAAACAAAAAATCCTTCCGCGTGAGGTGAGGTGCGGAAATTGCATCCGGTTGGAAATGGATTGTGATTCTGATCAAATACCCTGGGAGTCCAGAGCAATGGAGGTCTTTCGGCGACCCAAGTGGAGGCAATTCCTTTTCGGTGGTGCTATGGCTCTGTGGGGCGAATTGATTCAATTCCTTTGACTAGCGGATGACCCCAGCTAACCAAAACCCTGCTGCAGAAAAAAACAAAGGGGTCTGCAAGTTGAAGAAGCCTACTTGGTAAAGGAATTCAGGCTCACAAATCCC